TGGGCAGCTTCATGCTGCCGCCTCTGTTTCCCGTCGAGGTCATTGGTGATGACACCACGTTCTTCGGTTGACGAGAAGTCAGGGAACGGATTTGGGGTCCGCAGGGCGTGAGCAGGGTTCGTATCACGCTGCTGGCGCAGCTCACCTTCCTCGTCATCCCATGCGGGAAACGGAGTGTCAGACTTGTAGTCGACAGCTTCCACATCCTTAACGAGGTCACTCGTCATTGAGAGCGTGCGCAAAGCGCGACGCTCGTGTTTATCAAGCCTAGGATGTACATCTCCCGGTGCCCTGGACACACTGTCCGACATTGCGCCGCGTACGGAAGACGGAGTTAAGCTCTGCCCGGAACCAGTGAGACTTGGTGACTTCCGTGTCGTGGACACAAGCTCATTAAGCACGTAAGTTGTTTTATTCCAACGAACTAACTTGCAGTGTCTAGCGGACACGCAAGCCTCGTTAAGGTAATAATCGATTAGAACTGTAAATGTTCTCAATCTTAATGGGAGGGTGTAACGGGGTTGCACGTACCCTGGTAACAGGGGTGTGTGTCACACGAGATGTGCATGGTGTGACCACACCCAAAAATGAAAACAGTACGGGGCTAGGTAGCCAGTAGTTATGCATGTATTTAGATTTCACAATATATATTTAGTATATTTAGAAAAATCTAGACATTTAAAATTAGGCGGCTTGCCGCAGCTAAAAATAAATAAAAATCAGTTTGGGGTTTTAAACGGAGTAAGCGGATTGCGATCCGCTAACTCGTACTTGTTTTAAGTATCGAACGAAACGTTGGTGACCTATATTACGCTTCCTCAAGCGCTAAGGTACGGCAGCCCCGCTGCATGATCTCGGAAGTGTTTGCAGACGTATAACAGATTAACTTCCTAGACGCAGCATTTTGACGCAGCAGCAACGGCAAACACTAACAGACGTTCGTCACGATATCAGAAGCTGTGATTTCATTTCATATTATCTTTGAAGCGTTTGCAGACGTGGTGCAGCATTTTTTAAGTACCTAGACGCATAATTTTGACGCAGCAACAACGCCAAACTCTTTCAGAGTTTGTCACGCCCTCAGCAACTGCAATATCATGCCACAACTTCTTGGAAGTATTTAAAGTCGTGCTACAGCATAATTTATCTTCCTAGACGCATTAATTTGACACAGCGACTACGGCAAACGCATTTAGATGTTTCTCACGTTGTCAGCAACTGCAATACCATGTCATATCGTCATTGAAGTGTTTGAAGACCTGATATAGCGCATTTTAACTTCCTAATCACATCGTTTTGACGCAGCGACAATGGCAAACGCATTCTGACGTTCGTCACGATATCAGCTGCTGTGATATCATGGTACATGTTCTTCGAAGGGTTTGCAGACGTGCTACAGCGTGCTTAATTTGTCTAGACGCAATCTTTTGACGCAACTGCAAATGCATTCGACGTTCGTCACGACATCAGCAACTGTTATATCACATCACATATTCTGTGAAGTGTTTTATAGACCTAGCATCTTCTGCAGCGGGGCTGCCGTAGCTTTGCGCTTGAGGAAACGTCTTTGGGTCACCTACCTTTCGTTCTCTACAAGAATCAAGTACTGGTGCAGCGGATCGCAATTTTCTGCCTAAAAAAGTACTTAAAAGCCTTAACCAAGAAAAACGAACACTTCTGTTCAAAATCGAAACTGATTTTTATTCATGTTTTAATCTTAATTTTATAAGTCTAGATTTTTCTAAATATACTAAATATATATAGTAAAATCTAAATATGTATAACTACTGGCTAAGCCACATACCGTATTCTTGTTTGGAAGCAGTCACACCATGCACATCTTGTGTGACACACACACCTGTTACCAGGGTCCGTGTAACCCCGTTACACCCTCCCCCATTAAGATTGAAAATTTTTACGATTATTGCCTCGACGAGGCTCGCGTGTATACTGCAACTCCATTTGTTGGAACAATAAATTCCTTGCTCAATGAGCCCTGAGTCAATGACACAAAAATCTCCAAGTCTCGCCGGTTCTGACGGCGAGCATGGGCAGAGCCCAACTTCGTCTTTCGCACTGGTGCAACGTCGGACAGTGCGTCCGCAGCACCGAAGGGTGCATATCCCAGGCTCGATGAGCACAAACGTCGCACTCCGCGCATGCTTTCAGTGCCGAGTGGCCTCGTTGAGGATGTGGTCGAAAATTGGTTTGACACTTCTTTTCCCGCATGGGATGATGAGAAAGACGGGCTGCGCCAGCGGCGCGTTGCGAGCACTGCTCGTGTCTTGTGGACCCAATGTCCGTTCCCTGACTTCTCGTCAACCGAAGAAAGTGGTGTCATCACCAATGACCTCGACGGGAAACAGAGGCGGCAGCATGAAGCTGCCCATAGGGCGGCTCTAAAGCGCACCTATCCACGGCCGGTCATTGACCATCGTGTGGAGTATGTTTTCTGC